TAGTTCTTTATTGGTTTGTGGTAGACATTAAGCAAACGTTTAACATCGCTAATAAAGATGAAGGCGCTTATTAAGTCTTTAAAAATCTCCTCTATATAGACTTAATAAAAAATAGTTGCCATTGACTGGTTTTAATTTGTATTCCTTACCATGATTAAAAATGGCTTATAAATATTACCGACAGTTTTCTACGTTGTTCGTGATATTATTTAACACAGTCTTACAACTCATGGCAGAGCAGAAAGCTAACCCTTGCTAGCGGGAAGCGTGAAGAGAGGGACATATCAACGATTGACGCAGTTTGTATCAAGGATTGGTGGATCAACGAAAACTTTTTACTGACCGCGAGGTGCTTCATTTAGTCACGGTTTAGCTTGGAAACAGATTGTTTTGGTAGTAAAGTAGGCTACAAATTAGGAAGTCTTAGGATTTGTATGAAACAGTTGAGAACTTAGCGGTGCCGGTCCTTTTATCCATCGACGGGCGGGGTTGCGCTTAGTATGCTACAAATTAACCCTGAAAATAATAAAATGCATCCTATTTGCATATTTATCCAGAAAATACACTGAAACTGAGAAGAGGTACACTAAGGCGGAAAGAGAAATGCTAGCTCTAGTTTACTCGGTTAACTACTGGAGAGAATTCACTTTAGGCAGACAAACTACAGCAGGCCCGTTTTTGACCCTGTCAGCGCCCTAGGCACAACTATATAGTAGCGCCCCTTTGCTATATATATATACAGGGTGTCCACCGACCAGGAAAACTGGGAATCCGTGAATTATGCTTGAGTTTTTTTGAACAAGGAAATATGCGTGAATTTTGTATAATGCACCTGGAATTTTCAATTTACCGCCATTGCAAATGACAATAGTTACGTTTCCGTGACCGCGTGAGACGACAATATGTCTACACACGGCAACGAGGGATTATCAGAATTTTCCGCGATCGAAGAAGACGATGGTGATTGAATTGATTTGAATTGAATATCTACAGAGCCACGAGGGATGATCAGAATATTGTTGCGATAACGGAAGGCGATGATGATGTCCACACGAACGCAGGAAACAGCAAAAATTTTGCCGCGATCGCAGAAGACGATGATGATCGCCACAAGATGGCAGGAAATGATTACCATTTTGCCGCAATCGTGGGAGGCAATTGCTATGTACAAACAACCGCGGGGGACGATCAATGATGTCTTCCGGTCACCCGGCCAACCTAACGAAACGAAACGCTGAAACAAAACCAGCAAAAACAGTGGTACGTTTTTAAAACACAGAGTGGTTACTCCAGTTAGTATTATAGCTCAGTGCTTCTGGGACTGCTTCTGCCTCTGCCATAGCAGCAGTGCTAGTGCTACCTCCAGTTATAATTCTAGCTCAGTGGTTTCTTTTTCTTTCTGGTAGGTTTCTGGTTTGTGGCGTCCGCAGGCGTACCAACCCATATCTATTACAATACGAAAAAGCGCCGATGAAAAGAGCCGCTAACTTCACGATGGTCAATGAAACCCCATTTGATTAAGCTGGCGGCAAACAGGTTTTCTGGACTAAATCCTTGCGTGGGAAGATCGTCAAAATAGTGTAGTGTGGCGTAAACACGTAATATTACTTTACTTTAAATTTGTTTGTTTGTATTTTGTGGTTAAATTTAAAAGTGATTGCTGAAAACCAATATTTGTAATTTATAATATTATCGATTCTGTTGCACATTGCAACGTGCTTGCAATAATTATACAGGTAGTAATAACAACGTTTTACATTTGAAATATGAATAGAATTAAAAACAAATAAAATTAACAGTATTTTCTCCCACTGGTAGCTATTGGCCGCCAGTTCTGGTTACGATAATGATAATTCCCTTTGTTGGGAGGGAAACGCCACCGAGCGTCCTTAATCGATATAATGGTGGTGAAAAGCGCTGAATTACCCACCCGGCCGTGGCACGGGGATTTCTGAAGCGTCCGTCCGGGTGAACCACCATTTTGAGGGTGTCCGCGCGTCAAACACGTCCGGGCTAAACACGGAGCCGTTTTTGTTTAAGATGGTATTTGTTTATTTACGAAAGCTTGATGGTTACAGGACTATTGAAATATTGACTCCGCTTTAAATGTAAGATATAGATTTTAAATTCATATAGTTTTGGTTTTCAACTCTGTATGTTTTATTTTCAATATTTTAATAAATTTATGCTCATTAAGTTAATTTGAAATCAATAAAGTGTGAATTGATGAGCTGATGTCACCTGTATGCCATGCTATCTTATGGGACGTATGACACCAAATCCTACTTGCGAAGTTACCAATTCTACCAGGCCGCGGCCTGGATCACGCGGCCACCTTTAACTACAGGCCACGGCCTAGTAGAATTGGCAACGTCACGAGTAGGGTTGTATAGTGGACAGACGTCCCATAAGATGCAATGACAGACAGGTGACATCAGCTCATTAATTCACACTTTTTTTTATTTAAATTTATGAACATAAATTTATTAATATATTGACAATAAAACGTACAGAATTTAAAACCAAAACAATATGAATTAAAAATCCATATCTGTACATTTTAAGAGGAGAGAGGAGTCAATATTGTCATAGTCCAGTAACCAAGCTTTCGTAAATGCACAAAGAAATACCATTACAGTAGCTACCAATTAGTGTTGAGAATCTTTATTCTATTATTATGGGTATTAAGAATAGCCAATCACTAGATGTAGGTACATGGTTTGAATGCAATAATCATCAAACAGGCAGCTCAGTTCATATGTGAACCCTTAGCCTATGTTATTAATTTATGTATGCATGCTGGTGTTTTCCCAAGATCATTAAAATATGTGAAAGTAGTACCTGTATTTAAAAAAGGGAAAAAGGACAGTTATGAGAACTATAGGCCTATTAGTATTGTTAGTATTGTATCTAAGGTCTTTGAGATTGTTCTCAACAAACAAATCGTAGCCTATTTTGAATCAAATAAGATATTTTCTTCTTGTCAGTTTGGATTTAGAGCCAAACATAGTACAATTGAGGCAGTGCTGTCACTTGTTCAGATTAGTTCTGAGGGTCTAGAAAAAAAACAAAGTGTTGGTTGTAGATTGTTTGACCTCACCAAAGCGTTCGACACTGTGTCCCATTCCATACTCCTTAGTAAACTTTCCTTCTATGGTGTACAAAACCCTAGCCTATCTCTCATTGAATCCTATCTTGGAGATAGACATCAGGCTGTAGTGGTTAATGGAATTATGTCTAGTTTTAAGTTAGTCGAGTACGGGGTGCCGCAGGGCTCTGATGTTCTGGGCCCGTCATTTTTTATTATTTATATTAACGACCTTCCCAATCAGGTTCATGATGGATTTGTACATCCTTATTTATTTGCAGATGATTTGGCCCTCTCTGTTATTGAAAAAAGTGCTGAATCCTTGAGAGGTAGACTAGATGACACCTCTAATACCATAAACGACTGGTGCTGTGCTAATAGTCTATGTCTCAATGATCAAAAGACTCTTGAAATTATTTTTACTTCTAGCCGTCTCAATGCTGCTAAAGCAAACCCTGTTAAGTTTTTGGGAGTTCATCTTGAGCCTGGGTTGGGATGGGAAACTCACATTGACACTGTTGTTAACAGAATATGTAGAGGTATTTTTCTGCTTAGAGTTTTGAGTATGATTGTTTCCATTGATGCACTTGTAACTGTTTACCATGCTCACATATTTAGTCATTTATCCTATGGCACTATTCTCTGGGGTAACCACCCCTCCGTTGTTAAATTACTAATCCTGCAAAAGAGAGCTGTACGTATAATGTGTGGAACTAGGCCTAGAGCACACTGCAAGCCTTTGTTTGTTCAGTTAAAACTACTCACTCTTCCAGCTATTTATGTTTTGGACTGCTTAATTTATGTGAAAAAGAATGTCCACAATTTATTGTTATGTGAAAATCTACATAATTACTCTACTAGGCAAAAGAATCACATATTTATTAAGTACAATTATTATTCCAGGACCTTAAAAAGTTTTGAGGTAACTGCACTTAAGCTGTACAATGTTCTTCCTACTGCAATCAAAGACCTGCCACTAAACAAGTTTAAAGACAGGATTAAACACTTTTTGGTTAACAGCCCTATTTATAACACTTGTGAATTTTTTGATCTGGACTATTCATTATTGTAGACCATTGCTGACTGTGTAGCCATTTTATGTAAATGTACCTTGTAATTTATGCATGTATGTGATGCATGATGCAGACGTAATTTATTAATTTATTTATTTCTTGTATGCTACTTGACTTTTATTGATGTGTGCGTTTTTGCAACATTTTGTAATTATTTTTTTTTTTTGTGACGAGACTGATAGCATGTAATTGTTGAATGGTCAATAAATTCTTGATTCTTGATTCTTGATTCTTGATTCTGTTTCCAAACAAAACAGCTGTTACAACCCCACTTGCGACGGTGCCACTTTGAAGGCCGCGGCCTGGAGTTAAAGGCTGCCATGTGTGGTGGGTTTTCGTGGTGGCACCTTGATGGTGGCACACTTGTGCTATTCAATGTTAATTAAAATACAATCAATTAATAACTTCACATAAACAAGAATATTTAATAATTTTACTGAGTACTGTCTTGAATAAACACTATTTTATGGAAAATATTTATTCTATGGTACTGTGTGTGGTTTATCTACTCGGTCACACAATAACATGGTGCAAAAAACTGGCTGATGAATGATGATATATATTAGTTTAGTTCCAAACGATAACAAATTCTAAATATTTGCAAAGATAAGATTACATTTTAATACATTTACATATTTCATAATATCTACTCGACTCGTTCCTCCGCCATTAAATTTATTGCCCGATTCGTAAGTTTAATTTCTTTACGCAGTAGTGGCACTGACAATAGCCAATAGTGTCGTGTCAGCGTCAGCTGTTATAAATAACAAACAAAACAGCAGCCAGCAGTCCAGCAGCTGTTTTACTTTGAGCTTTGCTTTAGATCTCAACTCAAGAGGGGAAAAAATATTGGTTTTGATTATGTGTCAAAATGAAGTGTCAAGTTAATTCAAAACTCAAATTGTATTATTTTCACATAAAATCGAATTACATTTTCTGTGCGTTTTTCATTTAGACGTTTGAAATATTTTTTCTAAAGTATAAGTTTCTGAAACCCTTACCATTAAGGCTATTTCATTCTAGACTAAGTTATTTCATTTGGAAAGTGAATAAGATGGCGTTTGAATTTAACCTTAAAATCTATTTCCTAATATAGGCTAACTTAGGCCTAGTTAGTACTTCGTCAATTTAATAATTGGCGAATATCAATGAAAAACATTTTTATATTAGGTCTATGTTTGTTTTGAGAAATATCTGTAAAGAAACCTGTCGTATCCTCAATAACCGTGATAACTTAGTATAGGCCCAGTCTATATATAAATAATGGACAACATTGATACAGGTGGACTTTTCCATACTCATTACTAGGGGACAGGGTGTAGAGTATAATGAATCAAAATTGTTCGATTAAGCCTGTAAATGACGACGATGTTAATGATTTGGTCACTTTTAATGCTACCTCAACAATCCCAAACAATGTAGTGGAACACTCTAAACTATTGCCTGTTTCACCAGACGAAGATGACAAAAGTCACTTTGTTGACCAGCCAACCAATAAATACAACAGCCTTAATGAAAATGACAAGATGATTGAATCAATTCCTAACAATAAGGAGCGCTGCGGGATCCGAGATTCTTGTAACAATAATTCATCACATACAAAAACACTTTATAATACACATTCCTTCTTAATGGACAGAGTAAGCAATGACTGTTCTAAAACTAATCATGACTCACAATACGATGTTGATCCTGGATTTTTCCTCTCACCCTGTGAAGAAATTACTCAGAGCTCTATTTCTGAAGAGAGCATGTCTGAATTTTCCTCGGATTGTGCTTCTCTGGACTGTAAAGAAACTGAAGGTGTGGATGAGGAGGAAAATTCCAAAGAATTAAATTTGTCTGGTACTGAAGTTCAACTTATTAAACATAAACAAAAAATCTCAGAGCTAAACGACATCATAAGCAGGCAAGTTAAGCTGTCATCATTAAATTTATTAGCCTTAGATAACTTAAGTTAACTTTCATGTGCCTTAAGTCCTACGTAAAAAATTGTCTAAAGTAACTTTTTTTTATTTTGTAGTTATTACTTAGGTATCCCCTTACTGTTTTTGATGGATAAAATTCTATTTCTCAGTTTTAAAATCATAAGAATTTATTTATTATAATAATACAAATATTTATTAGGCCTAAGTTACCACAAATTACAGTGTATATTTATTTACATTATTTAATATTTATTTTGATATTAGCCTAATTCAAATTCATTCACAAATTACAGTGCGGCTACGGCCACACTGGCGACTTGGTGTCTCACTGGCGACTTGGTGTCTGCGACTTTGTTGGAGAATAAAACTACTTAAATTAAATAGCCCGGCCACACTTTCTTTTAAGCGAATACAGTAACAACCACCGGCAACAGAAAAAAAAACAAAAAAAAAACAGTGTAGGCTGTTTTGGTCGCTGTGGTAAATACATCATGTTATCTTACGGCACCGGCCACACTAGGCAACAAGCCGCCCACTCAAACCTGCACTTATTTCATGTTAGGTATAAACAGTAGCCTATAATCAGTTACCTAAGTTGTAGGTAAATATAGCCATAGAAAGCATTAGACTGTGATTAGAAGATTAGACGTCTGCAATTGGTTTTAGAAACAAGATTTAACCTTATCACATTTTTTTTATAAAAGTGCCTATTTCTTTTTATTCATAAGTGGCTTATAAATGAAATTTGTAGGCCTACTTAAAATGTTTGTTTTAATTGTACAAGAATGCAAATAATAGTAAAACATCGATGTATTCTTAAGCCGAATATTAAAAACATGCAATAACCGTCATAGTTTTACTTACAGTAGGCCTATTTCCATTTCCACGAATTTCAAATATAAATTTTTATATCTTGAAACTATTTACTGTTAAGTATGGTTAAAATGTCTACTGAAAGGTTGAAATTGTCCCCTAGTGTGGCCACCTCCAGGAACCAGGTCGTGAGGGAAAAAGTCCCGGCGACAAATATGCTAAAAATGTGGCCATAGCCTCAGCTTAATTATTTAATATAGGTCACAATAAAATCAAGGGTGAAGATTAGCACCTGTCTAAGTTACCTACCAAGATCAAGATCAATAGTAAGATGCCAATAGTATCAGAATACAATACAGGGTTTGGACCTTTCCCATTCAAAATGTAAAAAATGCCATTGGTGTAGCAACCACACAAAACACGCAAAAATATATAAAAATGATGTAGAAAAAATGCACCCTGTTTGGTTGCGCTGTTTATGTAGGCCCTACCTACAGACTTATTGCAAATATGTTTTATTATTGATATAGCCTTAATTTAATGCAGTTATGTGCACAGGACAAATGTTAAAAAACTATTATTAGCCTGTAGATGGCTAACACAGGTTACCTTCTGGTTCATGCATAGCATTAAAATGACTTTAAGTTAGTTAAAACTAATTCTTAACTAAAAGGATGTTAAAATTAATTAGGAGTAGGTCTACAGTAAAACCCCTTTTACCAAAACTGCTGAATCAAAACCCTAAAAAGATTAAAGAATAGGAAAATAAGCAAGCAGCAGGAACTGTACACTATGGCACCCGACTGACCTGGCATGTCAAACAAAATGTATGGATCAGATAACCACTTGGATCTTATAGCCTACTCGTTCGGTTCTGTGATAGACATCTAGAGTCCGGAAAACAGTTAGCAATCCTGTAGATTTCAGGATGATATATTAATCATAAATAACAAAATATGCTACGTCTGTAATGGATCTCTTTGAACAGAAATAGCCTTTGAATTCCATTCATAGATCAACCAAAAAATAGGCTATTCCTATCTGAAACTCCCCCGCCCTCTTTATTTTGGTTAATTGGAGGTTTACTGCACAGTATTTTAAACATCTTTGCCACCAAGACTGATATTTGAATATGTAATAGGTTACGTACCTTGTTCCGTCTTCAGTCTTAACTTAGTCTATGGATTAATAGTTTCGGGTACAAAGACCCATTATCAAATCCTTATTTAAAACATCATATTGAATATGGTCAAATATCCGACGTAAGTCTTCATCAATGTATATCCTACATGCAGGTCGACGACACATAAAGTTTACACATTTAAAAACCAAAAGTTACAAATACATATACGATAGGCCGGCCACATTGAATACGGGACAAACCGACGCAGGTTACACGGCGGACACGACAGAACTCACGTCGGATATTTGACCATATTCAATATGATGTTTTAAATAAGGATTTGATAATGGGTTTTTGTACCCGAAACTAGACTAAGTTAAGACTGAAGACGGAACAAGGTACGTAACCTATTATGTGCGCAGTATTTGTTTGATTGCCGTTTACCTTTTGACACATGTGTTTCCTCCTCTAAATATTCTACCTTTTACTCTCTCTGAGTTCTCTGATGTTGATGGAGATCTGCAGCTAACAGATTGAGGAGTTGTAATGAGTAGAAAAAACTTAAGCAAAACAACGTGTTTTATTTAAAAAGATAACATGTAGTATAAGAAGATGTATTCAAGTACAAATATGTGGCAACACTGCATTGTTAGAAATAGTAGCGATTTTGTAAACTTTCTTTTACTTTCTCCACATCCCAATACGGACATCCCCCAGGGGACAAATTTTGTGTGTTTGTGTGACTCTTCTATATGTTCTATGGCATATCTGTAATTCTTCAAGCTACAGCTTGCTGCTATCCTGTTTATTTTACAATTATAAGTTGATTTTATGATTTTATTATTGTTTGCTTTCTAAAACTCTGTTGGATTGCGCTAAGGACACTTTTTACTTAAAGTTCTTCTTTCTTTAAACTGAAGCTTCCTTAGATTTGTTTTGATGAGTTTTCAATCTTTTTTCTGTCAGTTTGGTCTCAATCTTTTTGGGTTCTCATTAAATGGCTGTATCGTCACTTGTGAAGACCTTTTTTTGAGGGAGAGGTGGGAAAATGCATTTATGCACACAGGTGACTAGCCCGTAGTGTTTGACTCCAACAGGTTTTAAGACCCAGAGACTACCCACTAAAAACCTCCTACACTCTTCGAACATTAGCCTGGGAAAACTTTTCTTACTTCATCAGAACTAGGCCGAGTTTGCCTACACCCCAAGGGCTTACTCCTTGACAAGCCGTTTATTTCTTACACAATCTAGATAATTACTTTTACCTTGAAGGATATTCCGGACAAAGTGCGATCAGCAGTTCCATTTGTCCTCACCCTCCATCAAGGTCTCACAAATCGATTCAACTGACATCACCCCAAGATATTGAGTGACCTCCCGGCGGAACATATCCCATCGTGGATAGTGGAAGAAAGTGTGTTCCAAGTTGTCGGGAATGCTCGGGCAGTAAATACAGTCAGGTTAATTTGTTTTGGCCATCAAGTGCTGATACAACTGAAAGTAGCCTTGACCTGACAAGACCGAGGACCACCGACATTGGAGCCATAAGCTTACTAAGAGCAGTGGCACTCATAACAGCCTTGTCCGTCATACAGAAGATCTGGTCCCTCCTGTTCAAATTGTTGTCCCACATGACACAGAGGTACTTGGCGGTTTGTGTGGTTTGGACAACTACGTTCCTCACTCATAGCGGAACGATGGTTTAAATCAGTTTCATCTTAAGGATGACGATCTCTGTCTTGCTCAGAGTGAGCGACAGACCATGATCACCCAGGCATTTACAACTTGCATGACTTGGTTCAGTTTCAGTTGGGCCAGCTCAACGTTGCCTGCAGCAATGAGTGCTGCAACGAGTACCCAACTAAAACAGTCTCCTCTGATATCTCAGATCTAAGAAGGCTGTTGTCGGCAGCATTCCACAAATCTGGGTCGAGTATTGAACCTTGTGCGGCACCGGAAGTTACATCCATCAATCGTCTTCAAACCATATTTCGTTTCATAATTAAGAGTTCTGCATCTGGTTGACTATGGCTTGGTTGTTGATAGTAATAATATATCACTTGATAAAATATCCTATTATAAGTATACTGAACATTAATAAGGTTCGCCTACATTTTTGTAAGCTGTATCATGTGTAATTTGATCTTTTTAAACAGTTAGTGCATGATGCTCCAGAGTGTCTTATGCGTGTAAGGCTTTAATTGATGTTAGTTAGGTTCTAAATTAATTATATATTTTTTCAGGTTAAAAAATGAAAAGGACATGTGGGCTGCAGAAGCATCTCATGAAGTATGTAAAGCACAGATTGAGCAATTGAGAAGGGAGGTTGAGCTGTTTAAACAAGAACATGAACTGGACATCCGTACTCTGGCTTCCATGAAACTGGAGATAGATTCTGTAAGAACGTCCAGATCATGTGACATTTATCATTTGTGCAAAAATATTTATTTTATTATATTATTTGTCACAGATTATAGTTGGATTATGAAATACTAGCTGCCATACCCGTGCTTCGCAACAGGAAGAGAACGCTTAGGCCTAAAGAGAATAATCATATTATTCTATAGATCTGCTGTATGAAAATTTATTATTCATAAATTAAATGTCCACAATTATGATAAAGCCCCAACAAAAATATTACTTATGTCCATTGAGCCGGTTGTATTGGCTCAGTTCATGGAAAAATTAGCTCGATTGGTCAAGTAGTTTTCCTTCACGTTATTGACATACCGTACCGTACTCCAAACTTTCACATCTATAATATTAGTTCCTTCCATCCAAGTCAATGACTTGATCAACAATGTACTAAAAGTATTAACCGACTACTCCGTTTCTCAGATATTATTTTTTTGGGCAAAACGGCAAAACAAACATAATAAATTTTTATAAACATTTTGAATAAAATACAGTCAATAAGTTGATGAATTAGTTATGCATTTAAAAAAGCAACCTATTGTGCGATTACCACAAATCATTTATTAAATTAAAAACATAAGAATAACTGTAAACAATCCTATTTTGGCAGTTCTCTCTCATTGTGTATCACAGCTTTATATTGCTGCTTAGTTCAATAACTAAGCTGTTGTCATAAATTCAAATTCATAGAGCTGCACCCTGTTAGTAAACCTTGTAACTTTTTAGTGCTATTGAACATCATAAAACCAACTTGATCAGTTGAAACAGCTGCCAGGTTCTTTAATTTCCTTTTAAATATGTACTAGCGAACCCGGCGCATGGAATCTTGTGCAGGCAAAAGAAGGAATTTTTATTAATCTTTTGTTATTTAGCCTTTTTGGGTAAATAAAAAGAAATTTAAAGGCTTAACTGAAATGACTCTTTCGGATTTGATTATCTATTTTATAGTAAAATGCTGATTTTGGTGGATTTTATATGGTACCACGAGTGTGTATCAACATAAAAGTGTGTTAGAAGTGCATCACGTGTGTATTCCATGACCAACGGCGGTTTTTTAAGCTCTCTACTCCAACGGGACTGTCCCTGAGATTTATTTATGTCCATGGAAAACGAAGGAATAGCTACTGAGAACTGAGTTATTTTGAGAGCAAGAGGAAGGAGAGAATTAAATGTTCACAGTTTGATCCTAGGAATCGATATTTATTTGCCAGACAATGAGCCGGTTAACATCTCGATCTCACATTTGATAGTGTTGCGATACATTATTTTAATGCACATTAACGTTCCTTTAATGAAGCCTGACGACATATCAATATTCCTGATCAACATTTCAATGGCGTATTCCTTAAGCGAGGTTCAGTAGGAAGTACTCAACCTAGGCTAGGCTAAGTGATTTTGGTCGCTGGTTATGATATGTAGAATCTAGAGCTAATGTAGGCTTTGGCAAGTAGGTCTAGTTCCTTTCCATAACAAGATTAATCGTAGCCTGAGGCAACCCTTATTTATAGGACATCGGGTCTAACACATAGCTTAAATGGTAGAAGGTCAGTTACACCATATAAAATTCAAGAAATATAAGTGAGTAAGCTTAATAGCCTAAGTTATAATAGAGGTCAACTAAGAGTTTAAAGGTACTGTAGGTAGGTTGGATGCTGATTAAATTCATTAATAATTCACAGTAAGATAACTGTCACTTATTGTAAGGTGACCAAACTGTATTGCAATCAGACTATTTGATTGATTCTGACAATTGATTCTGACAATTGATTCTAACTGATTAACTTGAAGGTTTGTTTAATCCTTCAACAAGATGGTCTGATTGGCCTATGGTTATAAATTTCAAAAGGAATACTCTTACCATCCTCAGGGTTAAGATAAGTTGAGCATAAACTCTTCAAATTTATTGAATACTAATAGACCTAACCTTGTTTTTAAAAACCGAAGATTCATTGATCAATTAGAAACACCAAAAAATGGGGCTATTAAACCTAACTGCGCAGCAATTGGTAGAGCTGGGAGTGATCAACAGATGTCATAAGCAATTGGTAGAGCTGGGAGTGATCAACAGATGTCATGAGCAATTGGTAGAGCTGGGAGTGATCAACAGATGTCATGAGCAATTGGTAGAGCTGGGAGTGATCAACAGATGTCATAAGCAATTGGTAGAGCTGGGAGTGATCAACAGATGTCATGAGCAATTGGTAGAGCTGGGAGTGATCAACAGATGTCATGAGCAATTGGTAGAGCTGGGAGTGATCAACAGATGTCATGAGCAATTGGTAGAGCTGGGAGTGATCAACAGATGTCATAAGCAATTGGTAGAGCTGGGAGTGATCAACAGATGTCATGAGCAATTGGTAGAGCTGGGAGTGATCAACAGATGTCATGAGCAATTGGTAGAGCTGGGAGTGATCAACAGATGTCATGAGCAATTGGTAGAGCTGGGAGCGATCAGATACTACAAGATTTAAATGGTTTGGATTACCTGTTGTGTCAATTGACCCTTGTGTTAATAAAATAACTACAGCTGTTTCGTGCTGCTTAGATCACATCTTAAGGATGGAACGTTAATAAACAGTTTTCTCATCCCTGAATGAGGCCGTCAGCATTTTTACATTGCTCATTTGGACACATGACACGAAGTACATTTTACATACCAAACGACATTTAAGTATTTAAAATTAAAAACCTGAAGTTAACCTGAAGGCAAGTGAGCGTAGCGAACGAGCTAACCTGAAGGCAAGTGAGCGCAGCGAACGAGCTCCAACCTAAAGGTGAGTGAGCGTAGCGAACAAACTTCAACCAGGACGTGATTGAGCCGAATAGAAAGGCCAAAATTATTGTCTACCCACTAGCATTAATATAAGAGCAATAATAAAGAATCGGTTATCCTTTGTACTATATGTGTTTCATTAGTTTTCGTACGTATTTTAATTTAGTTATAAGCACTTCATATACAATAAGACAATTAAACGTTACGGTACTTAAATTATAAATAGTCAAAGGCTCATATACAATAAGACAATTAAACGTTACGGTACTTAAATTATAAATAGTCAAAGGCAAGACAACGTCTGCCGGGTTCAGCTAGTTATCTATATATATATAAATAAATGCAAAATTCTGATTAACGCACAGGCCAAACCATAGCACCTAGAAGCATGAGATTTTGCATACATATATTTCTCTCATATTCGTAGGCAGACAATAAGAAGCGTTTTACAAAATTCCCAATGGGCCCCGTCCCACAGAAGGTCAAAGTTATCATGAAGTTTGTAAAGGAAGAATAATTTTTTTGGGGTTTTTGTTTACATTTGTCTCCAATTTATTTAATCATCAGCTGTTAGAATAAAAAAAAATAAGTTTACTAAGGTTATTTCAGACCATGTAAACATATAAGCGTCTAGGCAGCCAGTGCAACTCCGAGGATCATGGATCAGATCGGAAACCTCCCACCACCGCTCCGTGCCGATGGCGTGACGTCAACCATTACCGCAACGATACGGAGCCAAGTCATGAACCTTGGTGGTGTAGTGGATAGCGTGTTGGGCTGATAATCAAAAGGTGCCAGGTTCGAATCCCGCTGGTAGCACCAACTTTTTGTCAACAATTTTTTTCATATCAGCTTCAAGTTTGGTTGGTTTGGTTAGGTTATGACAGTTTAATTTTATAATTATAAAATTTTATTTGAGACATTTATAATTTTATTTTTAGAACAGAACTATTTTTTCGATCAGTAAACCTTCATTCGAGTTTTTCATTATCAGCAAGTTTGGTTAGTTTGGTTAGGTTATGACAGTTCAATTATTTTAAATTTAAATTTAACCTACAAACGATACGTTTTGACAGCAACAGTGATAGAGATAACAATTTTCCGCGAACAGTTAGGCTATGCTGATGCGCCGGTATGATTCGGAAGCGTACGACATGGTGCGGTGGTGGGGGGTGTTCTGATCCACGATCCTCGGAGTTGCACTGGCTGCCTAGACGCTTGTTATAAACATGATAGTTGTGTGCGAGTGAAATTAACCTAATTAGTTGTGGCATTTTAGTTTTATCGACTTCTATAATATGTGTGATTAGTGTTGAAGAAAGTAGAATTAAACTTAGTTTTTATTGCATTTGAACTTTTAAGAACTTATGATATTGTTCTGTTAATATTTTTGTAGTTGTTACCGTCTCATAGTACGGACACTGAGGTTTTAACTGTTAATGGCGGTTCATTCCACACAATATCATTCACATTCACATTTGACACTATTCATGTATGTACAACTATGTATACCGATACTATGAATAAAGATTCTTGACTATGCCTATGACTATGACAGGAGATGGTACGTGTTTATTTACTTCACTCTCATTCATAATTATTCACCTTACACACATACATACACTAACTGTACACGAAGCAATTGTTGAAGATGTGAGAAACTGGGTTTACTTCTCAGTCTTATCCCAAGACAGTGGAATAATTAGTTTAATTCAAGGGAATAATTAACTTCTATGAAATGTCTAAACCGTTTACTTTTTGTGGGTTGTGTGATTACTGTTTGCTGGTTGACAAATATTTACGTTTTGTTTTCGAGGTTTATCGAATTGGTGAATTATATGTCAAGTTTGGTGATGAACGTAATCCCTTAAAAAGACTCAGATTTACACAATCCCTGTCTAGCGGGTAGTTTGACGTTTATCTTCACAAAAATGTAATTGAGGCCATAGTGATCACTGGATGTGCCCGAGGGGAATCAGTTTTTATACCACGACTTCCCCTGGTTCCTACAGACTACCCGCTTGAAGGTTGCAATTCCCTTTGAAAGTGTGCTTCGCCCTCACCATCAACAAAGCGCAGGACTAGACTTGAGAGAGAGGATTGTTTTTCTCATGGACAATTTTATGTTGCATATTCACGGGTCAGCTCAACCACGAGTCTGGTGATGCTAGCACCTTCTGAGAAAACCAAAAATGTTGCATACTAAGATATTCTGTAAATAATAAAAAATAGTACGAATAACGAACATACTGTTAACTGCAGTTTTAATCATTATCGTAAAATGAAATATAAAAATTAAAATTATTTATTGTTTATTTAATGTGATTTATTTTATCATTATCTGGCACTTAAACACTAATTTATAAAACATTTCAACCAATTTGAAAGTTTCTGTAGCGAAGCGTGGGTTTTCCACTAGTAACTGATATTTGATTTGAAGGACAGCTGGTCATTTAATATATGGTCAGGGTGTTGTTTTGATGCTCTGAAAATCTCAAATTCTTCTATAGTATCCATTTGTCTGCCTTTACTGCACAGATTTATGATTTCTAAATTATTGTGTAGGTCTGTGTAATTATGGTTTGAATTAATGAGGTGATTAGCTAAAGCAGATTTAGAGTTTCTCCTTGGTAATTTTTTTTAACCTTGTAGTGAAAGAACTGCAATAGTGAAAGAATTGTCCAATATAAAAACTCGGACAATTGTCCCATTTAATTTTATAAACACCTGTGCTGCTTTCTTTGTCAAGCATCTTCTTCCTTCCTTCCCCGAGGGAAAAGAGTGAAAAGAGTTTGTTGGGTGTTTTTAAGCGACTTCCACTTTTTGTTTCGCCATTTCTTTCCTCAATGTACAACCTTAAGTACAACTCCGTATTCTGCAGGGACATATTTCTTGGGTCTTTTTCTTGGCTTTCTTTAATTTTATTTTTCTGCTCTCAGAACCACTGGATACTGCGATATATTTTAGAATATTTAATTCATTGTCATAGTTTTCTGATGAGAATGGGATAGATAGCCCTTGTACAAAGCTGTTTTTTAACGCTCCAACCTGAAGATGTGCTCTTAGCAGCACGAAACAGCTTGTTGTTATTTTATTAACACAAGGGTCAGTTGACGCAATAGGTAATCTAAACCTTTTAAATCTTGTATTATCTTGATCCAAAGGCTAACCCATCATAAATTACTATTATTAATTTTCATAATGAGATCTTTAACTGCTTATTTGATCATATATTTCCGTAAGTTATCTACAACCCTTCAATGTTTATTCGTAGCCGTCAGTTGAATAAAATCCGGTTGAAATAAAATGATTTTATTTCTGTCCAAATTTTCAGGTGAAAAAGCAGTATGACATAGCCAACAGAGAAAGAGAAGCTTCAGTGATGAGGTATGCGACCAGTGAAATGGAGGTTATAAATCAACGGAAAGAAAAAGAAAATCTAGATAAAAAGTGCAAAGAACTTGTAAAAGAAAAAGACTGTATTTCTTCCAAGTTAAAATCTGTCATGATTGAAAAGGCTCGAATAAATCAACTGTTTGATAACAAAGTAAGCCACTTTATTGTACCGTGTTAAATTAAGCAAATTTTGATTAAATAAAATTACCAGAGATGTTTTTATAGCTGGAATATTTGTTTAACTTTTAAGGAGGAGTTTTACTGGATCAGTTCAAGCTTAAGACGGTTATCCGTTCTACAACTCTCACTCTGACTAATGTAGTACATTACCATCAAACCACACTATATTTTTGTTTGCTGTTACTGTATACGTTACCAGTCCTCAAAACATTTACAAAATGTAATTTTCATTGGATTAATTAAAAATTTAAATGTATGGTTGTTAAATGATTCTGAAAAATAATGTGGGAGTTACAGGGCTTGAAATTGGCCATAATATTGTCAAATGTTGGTATACACCTAAAAGCTGGACTTGATCAATGTAAAAATTTGCGGTCATATCTAAATCATGCTTAAGAAGATAAACAAAAAAACTAACTTTGAAGTAAAATTAAAAATACTTTTACACAATTTTTGTTCATTAAAAATATGTCATTTCTGAGGGCAAAAACAATTTACGGTACTTGTTTCAGTTTTTTTTCAAGTTAATTATTTTTTTTCCTTTAACTGGTAGATTTGTACCTTAATTTTTAGAAATCGCCTTCCATAGCCAATTAGGCCGGGCCAGTAGTGCAGTAAAAATAAGAGAAAAATTCCATAAACCTAAAAAAATTAGCACAACCGGGGAATTTGGTACAGATGTTGGGTGTACCTTCCTTTTGAACATACTAAAAGTCCCCTAAAATTGAAGCTGTGCTACGGCCGCCATATTGGAAAATGGCGGCATATTTCTGTATTTTTCGCTATAGTGACTTTATTATTAGAGATACAGGAAAAAGCTATATGTACAAAATGTAAGTAATCTAAAAATTAAAAATACACATTTTTTGTATTTACTATCTTTCTCTAAGCCCAACGGTTTTTGAGTTATTTGTTATTAAGTACATTTAGTTTTTTCTATTTATCAAAAATAGGTGAAACACATGGAAATTGGCCGTTACTTTCAAGGATTATGATAATTTATCCTATTTAGTTAAATAGTGTGATACTATAAAATCTTGAAATTTAAGCTTATTTTATGAGTAAAACACTCTGCCACAGCAAACCTGCAGACTCAGCAAATTTCCATTTGATTGGATGTTTTATTAATTGTATTTAAATAAAATTAGATTCAACAGGTACCTAGGTTTGCTGCTACAGGTAGGCTATTTTAGTGTGTTTTTCTTTAGTAAAATATCAATAACTTAGCATAAAATAATTAATTTTCCAAGTTTGATCATAATAAATATATAAACAAACTGTAACAGTTAACAAATTCATAATAATAGCATGGTATCTTAAGATTTACAATTTACAAATTTAAACATACAAATTTTGGTTGTGTTTACTAAAAATATGGCGATTATTCGTCTCGATTCGAATACTAACCGAAGGGGTTTTCAAAAGGAGATGAAGCAAGTAATTTAAGTACTGTAATATTAACTTGTACCAAGTATCGGAAATATTGTTTGCAGTGAGGAAATCAACCATATTTTGTAAACTACGCAATAGTCATATTAATATTTTATACTCATTTTTACCCATTTAATAAATTAACATTTTAATATTTTGATGGCACTACCACTATCACTCTGATATCAACTAAGTGGGATGAATAATTGTCGTAAACCTTGAAAGTAACCGTCGATTGCGATGGGTTTCACCGATTTTTGATAAATAAAACTAACTATACTATACCATACTTAATTAGTCACCAACATGAACTAGACACGAAAAACACCCTTCCAAATTTACAATGGGATGTCAAGTATAGGTAGTTAGTGTGGTGGTGCCATCAAAATACGAAAATGTTAACTATTAAATGGGTAAAAAATGAAGATAAAATATTAATATGACTATTGCGTACTTTACAAAATATGGTAGATTACCTTACTGCATACAATATTTTCGGTGCTTGGTACGAATTAATATTACTTAAATAACAGGCTCCATCTCCTTTTGAAAACCCATTTGGTTAGTATTTTAATCGTGACGAATAATCGCCATCTTTTTATTAAACACAACCAGAATTTGTATATTCAAATTTGTTTATTGTAAATTTAATACTCCCATGCTATTCTTATGAATTAGCAAATAGTAATTTTTTACTTAATTTTAAACTTTTATTCAATTGAAAATTAGCTAAAAAAAATTAAAAAACTCGAGTCTACGCACAGACCACTGAGGCCTATGTAGACTCATTTCAATTACCTATTACATTAAATATTATTCTAGCCGGAGCAAACATATTTCAACTAGTATTTAAGTTTATACGATTATAACTTCATAAATTTAATTTTACTTGAATTATTTGACGTAAACACTGTACTGTGTCTTAATGCTCAAGACTACTATATATATTCGTATTTCATTTTTTGAAAAATTGTAAATTTTGTATATATTGTGGAAATAAAACTGATTTGATTTGATTTGAATAAGTTAACTGTTGCAGTTTGCTTGTTTATAGATATATTTTGATCAAACTTGGAAAATTAGTTATTTTATGGTAAGGTATTGATATTTTACTTAAAAAAACACACTATAATAACCTACGTGTAGCAGCAAACCTAGGTACCTGTTGAACCTAATTTTATTTATATACATTTTTTAATAAAACACCCAATCAAATGGAAATTTGCTGAGTCTGCAGGTTTGCTGTGGCAGAGTTTTTTTAATCATAAAATAAGCTTAAATTTTTAGATTTTATAGTATCACACTATTTAACTAAATAGGATAAATTATCATAATCCTTGAAAGTAACGGCCAATTTCCATGTGTTTCACCTATTTTTGAAAAAATAGAAAAAACTAAATGTACTTAATAACAAATAACTCAAAAACCGTTGGGTTTAGAGAAAGATGGCAAATACAAAAAACGTGTATTTTTAGATGACCTACATTTTGTACGTTTAGTTTTTTCCTGTATCTCTAATAAAAAAGTCACTATAGCGAAAAATACAGAAATATGCCGCCATTTTCCAATATGGCGGCCGTAGCTCAGCTTCAATTTTAGGGGACTTTTAGTATGTTCAAAAGGAAGGTACACCCAACATCTGTACCAAATTCCCCGGTTGTGCTAATTTTTTTTGGGTCAAAACATATTTTTACTGTACTACAGATCAAAACTGCACTACGCCCCACTAATCACCATTCTAAAAGCAACAGTGGCGGCATACATGGCGACTTGGGGAACTGTTGAGCTCTTAGCCAGAGTTCCCAAGCGCTCTAACAGCCTTCATTTGACTAGTTTCTTATTGTTTAAGCATAACATCCTGCATTCTGCATACCACACTGTAGCTCAAGAAGGCCTTACAATTACCACTTACATACCTCTCTGCTATCCCTCACATGTAGAAAATTGTTCTTGGGCAAGGTAAATATGTCAGAAAAATCAGAATGCTATCATGTCTTCTGTACTTGTTAAAACTGAAGTTGAATGGTCCATGTAATTTCCAAAAGCCCCGGATGTGTAGCAGTAGCACAATATCTATGTGAAATCTAACCTAATAAAAACTAGGAACTTATCTATGGTTTGATCCTTCCATATGTACATTCAAGAACATGGATGTCTTAGAGACCACAAAATGCTGCAAGCATGTGTGAATTGGTTGTACACAAATATCCCCAGAAACCCATTAGCCTATTTTAAAAATTATTATAATTTGCCATGTAAAATAAGGCTTTCAATGTTCTCAGTGTTCTGAATTGGCCAACGCTCAGAGAGACATTGAGAAACTAACAGAAGAACTGAATGCAAGAGACATCAAGATTAAATGGACTCAAAGTAAACTCAGGAGTGAAATAGAAATGCATAAGGTAAACTTTCCTGTTTGTGTACTTAGAAGGTGTATAAAAATATTAAAAATACTGGTAATATTTACTCTACTATATGGGGACATACATTGCCACTTGATTTTTTGGTGCTTAAGAAATGGTGATATATATATCCGCATAACCTAGCTCGTTATACAGGGTGAAACGAAGTTAGTGTTTAACATTTTTAAGTGGTAAACTACTAAGTATTAGTGAAAAAATCGCACCAATATGGGCTTCCATACCCTCACAGGTAGGCAATAAAAGACAAAATAAGATTTTGAAAAACAATTGTATTTGCTTAACACTTGACCGAAACATGGGTGACACTTACATAAATAGAAACATTCGGTCTCAGAGACCGAACGATTTTTCATCAAAAACTTTCATGTAAAATCTTAGATTTAGTATTTCTTTAAGTGTATGTGGGCGGAAAGTAAAACATACATTTTAGTACAAATATATGTATTATAAAAGTAATATTAATTTACAAATACCCCCGCCGCAGCAAACCTGCAGACTAAGCGAATTTCAACTTGTCTGATTACATATTTACTAAAATACTTCCATAAATAAGACATATTTATTCCCAACTAGCTGGCCCGACAGACGTCGTCCTGTCCTATTGTGGTTTTATGTCACATGCTCGTTCATTTTCAAGATGAGCTCGTTCGCATGGCTCAATCACGTCCTGGTTGAAGTTCGTTCGCTACGCTCACTCACCTTTAGGTTGGAGCTCGTTCGCTGCGCTCACTTGCCTTCAGGTTAACTCGTTCGCTACGCTAACTCGCCTCCAGGTTGAAGTTCGTTCGCTACGCTCACTCTTCTTTTGGTTGCAAATTAGCTGTTCTCATAAATTAAAAATAAATATAGTGCTGCACCCTGTTGGTAAACCTATTAACCTTTTAATGCTATTGAACATCACAGAATCAAATTGTTTAGTTGCACCAGCTGTTAAGATTCTTTAATTCCATTTAAATATGAGTACTCATAATGTTAACATGGGAAACTCCAGAGCCACTGGGGTGTTATTATAATAAAGAGTAAACGGTCGAGGGTTTTGGTATAAAAGAGGTTTAATTTAAGAGAGAAATAATGAGTACGTGTTGTTATGAGAGGTGATTCGCGATGAATGAATGCAACAATGAAAATTGACATATGGTAATGTGATGGGGATTACAGATGGACTGTTAAAAACAAAGACATATAGAATTAATACAAAAAACAAAGACACTTGACTGAACATACCGCCCCCTTTGAACCAACAAGGTTCAACAAAAGAGAAATTGAAAAAAATATAAAATTTGTATGAGAATTGACCAGAGTGGGTTGAAAAATTATTTAAAGAATGCAGCTTAATGGTATGAAGACACTTTGAATGATGGTCTTGAATGAGGATCCAGCTGGTCTGTAGCTAGGAGGAGCTGGTGTGTTTTAGCAAACAGGGTCTACACATTGAGGTTTTCTTTCTTGAGGTTCCACTTGAAACAACGCTGATGAGGGGTCTTAAAATATTCTTGACTCCAACGGCAGCATAGGCTTCGGGTGATGTCTTGAGGTAAATTATTAATAAGAGGTGTGATCTTTATTGGGTCAGGAACAGTTGTCAGAGAAGAGTTGATAAGAAAATGGCCAGGGGTTACAGCTGTCAGTTTCGAAGGTTTTGAGTTTGCTATTGCTTCTTTTTGTTCTTTGTTGGAGTGATTTCTGTTATCAGCCATAGGCTTAGTAGGCTTTAAAAAATGAAGGAGTGTGTGATGAAGTTTCAAACAGGTCTTACAAGTATTAGTAGACTTGCAGCGTTTAGCAAAGTGATTACCAAGGCAATTTGTGCAGCGTTTTAAGTCGCGTACAACTTTAAGCCTTTCTTGAGGGGTTTTACTATTAAAGACAGGGCAACTGTATATTTTGTGATTTTTATGGCAGCAAAAACATTTCAAATAATTTGAAGTACATATCAAGGCCATAGGAGGATGTTGAAACTGAATTGATTCATCAATTTGACGAGGAACTTGGTGAAGGTTGGATATTTGGAGAGGAACTACTTGTGGAGCGTGACAGAGAGATGCATCTTCACTGTTGTTACAAAAATCTTTGAGGAATTTGATTATTTCACTAGCTTGAGGAAAATCACATGAATTTATGCGTTTTGATTCAAAAACTTGACAGAGGTTGGAATTCATTTTTCGTAAGATCAACATACTTAGTAGGTAGTTGTCTTCCATGACATTATAGTCAAGAACACTAAGAGCTTGTTCATTTTCATTGAACTCATTTAAAAATGATCTGAGGTTTTTGATAGATTTTTCATTAATATTGGGTAAATCGACAATTTTACTGAGGTGGACAGAGATTAGCCTACGCTTCGAGTGGTATCTTTCCCGTAAAGCGTTATAGGCTACTGTATAGTTGCCAGACGAGATCGGTAGGGATTTGATTAAATGTAAGGCTTCGCCTTCAAGTGAACTTATCAAGTACTGGTGTTTTTCAACAAGGGATAAGCTACTGTTGTTGTGGATAGTAGTATCAAAAAGGTTAATGTAGGATATCCATGTTTTAGTGTCACCATTGAAGGACTTCAGTTCTAGCTTAGGCAATTTTACTATGCTAGTGGTAGGCCTAGAAGTTGGGTTTGAAGTTACAGAGTTATTTGACAAGTGTTCACCATTAAAGTTCTGAATTAGAAGAGAAATTTCGGTTTGAATGTTAATTGAGAGTTCTGATTTGTCGTTCTGGAGCTTTAAAATAGCTTCTTCATTGTCAGAAAAAACGTTAGTGTCGTCATCAACATCAAGAAGCTTATCTAGGTTAGATTCAAAATTGGCAGAAATTGTTTTAGCTTCGTGCAAATAAAGTTTAAGTTTAGCAGTTTGAGCTTCTGTTATTTCTGGTGGACGAAATTGAATATACTCACTGATCGTATTTAATTTATTTAATTGCAATTTGCATCTAATGGAAAATGTGGAAAATCTCATTTTCCAAGTTAGGCCTAGATCGTTCAATGAGTTCAGTAAATAGTAGAGATATTGTAAATGGATGGAGTAATTTGAGGATAAGGACGACTGAGGAATAAAATCAGGGTTTCTTTATTATTTCAGTGTTGATATTGATAACTTACGATGAGATGCGGTGCGTTGTCTTCGAAGTACAAACATAACCTTACTTTTGAGTTTCTTGACGTTTGACGTTGCGATGCGATATAGACGAAATGAAATGAAGTCGAGTCGAGATGAATGCGGAGCGGAACTAGCAGAACTGTAGAACGATGACGATGTTGAACACTTGGAATGAGAGGAGTGTGGACTGTATCGTGACGTAGTCGTAACCCAGATAGCAATTTTTTCCTGATTCAGTATTAAATCAAGGTTAAACTTTCAAAGATGCAAGCCTGAATTAATCTTAAAATATCAAGCCATCAAGCCTAATTCAGGGCTAATTCAAGGGTCCTACTGAACACTTGTGAAACCTGAATCAACCCTGAAAATTTTAGATTGATTCAAGGTAAACGTTTCTGGCAGTAATGCATAATCAAGGCTGAATTGAGGTTGAATTAAGGTATAAGTATGTTTAAATTAAGGTAAAATCATGGTCAATTCAGGACTCATAACCTGAAAATTTAAGGTTAATTCAAGGTAAAGATTTTTGGCTGAAATCAAAATATATTGTTGAATTCGGGTTAAATAAAAGCATAATCATGATCAACTCAGTACATACAGTAACAAGTGATTGACTGACAAGGAATTTTACTTGACTTACGGCATTCTTACGGTCTTAAAGTAGTCCAATATTTTAATGTCCTAGTGGATAGCCTAGCTGTTTTGTCTTTGTGAACTCAAGAACTTTAATGATGCCTACTAAGCGCGGGGACAGCTATCTATCAGGACATCAAAATATTGGTTGCTTTATGGCAGTAAGTTAAGCCTTAAAATATTAAACGCAAGGTACATTACCTTAAGCTTTAATCTACGCAGAAAACTTTGGGTGGATACATAATTTGACCTTATAATATATATTATAATACAGTTACCACTCACTCACTCATTGATCACTATTCCTCAAAAACTACCATGCATATGTACTCAGAACTTGGTGGCATGGAGGTTTCACTTAACCTCCATAATAGGTTTCACTTAATATGTACAAGAAGTAGCTTTGAGAGATTCCATCAGGGCTCTGGCTCACTGGCTTTAAAATTACAATGTTAACATATTTTTCTTTTGACAGAACTTTCGTTTAATTGTATTAGCTACCAAATCGCTGTTAGGAAAATTCTAAGCAAAACCAATGCAAAACAACTGTTTGTAGCAAAGAAAATTTTTCAATTCTGTTGTGAAGCCCAAGGGGAGGGGCAGCTAGAAACCTTTAAATGATGCTATAACACTTTATTTAAATGTTGTATAGGATAACTGAGTTAGGTTAAAAATAATAAGCCTATTCTGCCAAGCTTGTGAGTGAAGGGTGAGAGCATTTAATTTTTAATAAGGCCTCATCAAATTACACCAGACCCTGCTTTAGAAAAGACATCTCAGTGATCAACAAAAAGTTTAAAAGTTCAAAACAGTTCTTCAAACATAGCCAAAATATCACTATTTGTGGGGGTATAAATAAAATGTAGCAAGTGACATTGGTTATAGTAAATTTATTTTATGAAAATATAAAGTATAAAACAAACTTGAAAATTAGAACATGAGTTAAATTAAGTGACATTTTACTTATACATTATTTACTGTCGCATAACCTCAGCCTGATGTTCCTATTCTGTGCACCAATAACTCCTCTTTTCCTGCAACAAAAAAAAGTCATAAAGTATCGACTAAGGGAGTATGTTTATCTAATTTTTTTTTAATTTTTTCTGTACGTGTAATCTGCTTGAGTTAAAAATTTCAGCATGGTTTTCCAGTTCACTAAGTAATTTTTTACTTGAATTGTTTTGACTGTGATTAAAGCTGAAACTGTGAGCAAACATTTATTAATATAGTTATTTGTGTGACAAAACGGCACGG